TATTGTATAAATTTTTAAAAATTAAGAAAAAAAAAACTTTGATGTGTTATTTAGATAGATATTTTTACTAAAAAGTTTCACAAAACTTTTACCATTAAATAAAATATTAATCAAATTTTTATTATAAACTTTATTAATTTTTTCGTTTAAATTTATCAATTTTAAGTTTTTATTTCAAACAAATTTTAGCGTGATTACTTTTAATAAAAATTTTCACAAATTTTATTTTAAAAACTTAATCTAAATCTTGTTATTTAGGCAACTAACAAACAATTATGCAACTATAAAATTAATTAAACATTTTCCCTTTCTACTAATTTAAGTAAAAGGTTTAAGTCAAAAGCTATATTTTCAAAAAGTTATTGCAATCAAAATAACTGGTAGTCCTGTTAACGGTGGAGCTATGCCAACTAAAACTCAACTCGAGCTAAATCTGGCATTGAACAAAGTTTTTGAGGCTCGGATTCGGGTTGAGGCATTATTTAATGAAGATAGAATATTTTTATTTAATTTTAATTTTTAAATATATTTTAAAAAATATTAAAACCTAAAGACATGCCATATTTTTTAACATGTGTCAACAAACGACAAATTACTAAATATGTTAAGCTTTAATAAGTTTTCGGGTGATTTTTTAGGTAACGTTGACAAATTAAAAAAAAAGAAGTTAAACTTTAATAAGGTTTTTTTTTTTTTAACTTATCCTTTATATAATTTTAACAAAAATTACCAAAAGGGTTATAATTCATCTTAACTATTTATTTCAACTTTTTATATAATTTTCAAAACTTACAAAAAAAATAGTTTTTTTTTTTGTGATTCTCACAAATTACAAAAAGATCTACTCTTTAATATATTTTTTTAGTCTATTTTCCTTTTTTTTTTTTTTACAATTATATAAAAAATTATAAACTAATAATTTTTTCAATCTCCTTTTTATAATTTTAACAAATTAAAAAAATACATTTTAGTAGGTTACTTTCTTTTGAAATTTGAGTAGACTTCAGTCATGAAAAATCATGTGTGGTTTCTTTTTTTTTTTTTTTTCACTTGGGAAATGAGAAGATAAGATGGGAAAGAGAGTAGTTATAGGGAAAGGATGATGCTTTGGGAGAGAGAAATAAATAATATATATATATATATATATATATATATATACACGAAAATGTACAATAAAAAATTAAAATTAAAAATTTGTGTTATCAAAGGTGAAAAAATAAACAAAAATATGATTTATGCTAATTTTTTATCAACCATTTTCCTCTTTCCTTTTACTATTTATTTTATTTTTTAATTATTTCTTAAATTTTGTAATATTTTATAATTGAAAGAAAAAAGATATACCAATTATGTTTCTTTTTCTATTTGTCTTAACAAAAATTATAATTCTTACACATAAGATAAAAATATATTTATATATATTTATAAAAAAATTTTAATATCTCGCAATAATACGTGGGAATTTAGTAATTATGTATAAAATATGATTTAATGATAAAATCAAATTTCTATGCAAAAAAAAAAATCAAATTTCAATCATCCTTTTTCAATAAATAATAAAAATAAATTAAATGACTTTAAACTTTTATTTGAGTGAAAATGAAAAGCCCTTGAAAATTCTCTCCCTTCCACGGGACTATCTTGAAAAGATGTAATATTAGACTTTAATGACTAGCATTATTCTTATTCATATTTTTTGAAAAAAAAAAAAAACGCTAAAACATTTCCAAAAGGGAATTAAAAGCAAGCTTTCTCAAAAAAGAAAAATTGGATGGCATAATTCAAAAAGAAAAAAAAAATCTAATCAAGAGTGCAATTATGTTGAGTTGTCATCTGGTGATCTTAAGAAAAGCAGCATCAAATTATTTTTGATTGATATCAATCAACTTTTTTCCAATTTGTGATAGAAATAATGTGCATAAAAGTTATTCTAAATTTGGCTCCTATTTATCATACATATACTTACAGAATATAACAGACAAAAAAAAAATTGTTAAGCTCATGCACATGTAAGCTTATGGCATAAAAAGTGGGTTATTATTAATTCAAATCAAGTTGGCTACTTAGCTTTTTTATAATTTGCAATTGTACCCTTTTATTTTTTATAAAATAAAAAAATTTACATTAGTATTGGTTTATATATATTTTTTATATTTATATATAGTAAAATTATGTAAAAAAAATTGTATACAAATATATATATTTCGATAAGAAAAGTTTGATCCTTACTTATAAAAGCACTGAAAATTATTAAATGTAAAATCGATTCTCTTTCACTGAAAATTGAATTCAACCTCTTTTCTTTTCTTTTTTTTTTAATATTTTAAGATTTTTAAATTTATATTTTATAAAAAAAATATTATTAACCATGGCATATTCGTTAGAGTGACAGATTTGGAACCACTATGTTTTTTTTGTAATGACAGGTTTTGGAAGTACACTGAAAAGCAAAAGAGCCCTAACAAAGACTAGAGAAATTAAGAAACCTACAAAGATGGAATTTGATACTTAAATTATTTAATTAGCATATCCCCCTTTTTGGATGAAACAACAAAAGAGAGCAAAGCAAAGAATCGGGCTAAACAAGGGAGCAGAGTTTCCCCTTCAAAACAAAAGTAAGAAAAAGTACATATAAATGGTTATAAGAAATTAAAGAAAACTATGCTCTTTTAAGTAACAAAGCAGCTTTATTAATTATATTTATATTCATTTCCGAACCTTTAATTTAATGATTAAAAATGTTTAAAGGAATATTAAGGATTTGATTTCGAACTAAAATTTTTTTATTTTTTTATTTGCACTGGAGCTTATCTTTTTTGTTGTAATAAAAAAAATTATATTTATGTTCATTGTAGAATAAAGAAAAACATACGGACATAGCATTTAAATTTATAATTTATTATTTTTGCAAAAAACATAAAATATATATTTAAAATGAAGTCTAACATGAACTTGTTTACAGTTGGACGATCCGTCGAGCTTGCAAACTTAACCTTACTCAAGTTTGATTTTTGGATAAAAATTTTAATTGATTTAAAAAATATTTTATTATATAAAATAATATTTTATTTTTTTTAAAAATATTTTTTAATATTTTTTGGTGCAAATTTGTTACCTTCATATTTTAGTAGTTTTTAACGTATTTATATTTATAACGGAACCATGGGTTCAAAGAATTTGAGTCCAACGGTCGAATTACTTGATTATGATCTTGACCGTTCAATTAAAAAAAGGGCCCCATAACGATGAATAAATTTCTGATCGCCACATCATTAGATTATAAGGTATTTACTGCGGGACCACCAATCTCGAGATCTCCTACGACAAAACTTTGCTCCTTGTACGGTATTATTATATGTTGCGATGCCTATGGAAAGATAATTCTCATCTCATCATCTCAACCGTTAGATTTTTAGGATCTAATTGATTAATTGAAGCTTATTTCACTTTTTTCCTCTAATTACATAAATTAAAGGATAAAGGTGGATTTTTCACCACTGTACTCTGGTCAATATTTGAATTGCGTTATTTCATTTTATTTCATTAAATTTTATCAATATACTTTTAATCTTCATTAAAATTTATCATTATATGAAATATAATTTTACCATTAATTTCATTAAATTAATTTTGCAGATGTTTTATATAAAATAATAAAAATTAATAAAAATGTATCGTATTCATTAACAAAATATTATATGAAATATTTTAATTCATTACTTTTGTTTTCAAAATCGATAAAATCAACCAAATATTTTGTAAATTGAAATGATGATAGCATGAAATTTATTTGAAATTTTACATGCATAACAAATGCAAGTAACTTGTTAAATCTAACTATTATTAATAAAAATATTAATAGTCTACTAAATTATAGAAAAAATTAAAGCAAATTAATTTTACACAAATATAATTTGATTTCTGCTTAATAATTAAAATAATTATTTTTAAAAAATTTTAATCTAGCTAGACATTTTACACTAATATTTATTTTAATTAAAAAAATATTATATGCATAAAATTTATTAAAAAGTGCATATATTTTATAAAAAATTATAGACATATCAATTAATTTAAAAGTGAGCCGGTATTAAAATAATTGTTTTTTTAGTTATGAATTCATGGGTTGGTTTTTTTGGCTGTTTTACTCAAGTGATTTGTTCTTACTTAGCATCTTAGCTAAATAAAGTTTGACATCAATCACGTCACATGCTGATTTTTTGTCATGAATAATTGTGAAATTTAATTTGCTTTTCTTTGAATTGACTAGAAAAATGTTTGGTTGTCTACAGGAATATGTAGCATGATTGAATTTTATTTTACTTTTCATACTATAATTTATTTACATTTCCCATTAATTTATCTAGTTAGCCCTTTTAGACTTTTGGTTCACACAATGTGTTTGTACATAATCTAAATTTAGTTTTATTCATTCAACACCCAATTTTATTTACTTCATTCAAATCTAAGAAAAAATACAATGTTTTTGATCATTAAAACATAGTTTTATTAAATTAGTATGTTTTTAATTATTTGGACCGACTCATAAAAAATATTTTTAATTTTTAAACAATCCATAGTTTTATAAATTAGGCACAAACTAATACTGTTACTTATAATAAAAAAAGATAAAAAATTCATTCTTTAAAGATAATATTTAATAAATTTAGATTTTAAATTTAATATTTGCATTTTTTTTTCAGGATGTAACTAAAAATATTAAAAATAATTTCATAAATAAAGGTAGATCAATTTCATAAATTTCTTTCTGTATTTTCTTCCGATATATGAAAAAAATTGAAAGGTGGGAAGTTGGATTTTAATTTTTAGTTTAAGAAAATAAATAGTAAGTCTAATGTGAATTGTTAAATCTGTATTTATGATATTAAAGGCACTCAAACTCAAATCCATCAAATTGAAGTGATAACACCAAATACAGTTGAATATCCTAAATATATTAAATTTAAAGCAACAAATATTCACAATCAAAAGGGATGGAAACATAACAATTTTGAGAGTGACAGCAGCACTATCCTCTAGAAAAATGGAAAAAACAAAAAGAAAGAAATAGAACAAGGAAAAGGAGGCTATAAATAATGAGCACTGAGCAGTTGGATCTTCTTCAGTGGTGCTTTTGCCAACAAAGATACACATCTAATTAATAACTAATAACCCTTTCTTTCTCTTTCTTCTGCCAGCAGAAGTTAAAACCAGCACTGGGTTGCTTTTAGGAGGGAAAAAAACAAGAAAAAGCTCTCAGTGAGTAGCCCACTTAACACACTAAACACAAGCTAATTCTTACAGGAGAAACAAAAGAAAGAAGAAAATGTTTGCAGGAGATCAAAATGGTTTACAAGGTGACCCAAGGTTGAAGGCCATTTCTGAAGCCATTAGAGTTGTTCCCCACTTCCCAAAACCTGGTTTATCTCAGCTTTTCAGAAAAAGCTCTACTCCTTTTCTTTGTTTTTCTTTTTTTGTTTATTATAATCAAAATTGTAAAGCAGATCTTTCTGTAGTAAAATGTTGAACTTTTTCTTGGTTTTGTAAACTTGGCCTTTTTTGTTTTATGTTCAGGGATTATGTTTCAGGACATAACAACTCTGTTGCTTGATCACAAGGCTTTCAAAGATGCTGTGGATATCTTTGTTGATCGTTATAGAGATATGGATATTTCTGTTGTTGCTGGTACCCTCCTCACACATGCAAGCACACTTTTTTTTTTTTTTGTTTTTATTTTGAGTGCTTTTGGTCTGCCCTTTTTACAGGTCTGGAATCTGGATAATTGTAGAGAAAAAATTAAGTCAAGTTGCGGTTTTTTTATGCATTTTATCATGCAAAAGTTGAAATGTAGTGTTAGTTTTGGATAAGTTGTTATGATGATGGGATAACATTTTCTTTCTTTTTAATATATATAAGCGGGTAGGATTTATTTATTTATTTATTTAATTTTATTGCTTTTTCTTAGTTTGTTATTAGAATTGTATGAGCTAATGTGGTTTCAGTCAAACTCATTGCTTGCTTCATTTTACCTTTCCTAATATTTTGTTGCTCACAAAGGCATGTTTACCAAGTTTGAAAGCACTGCAGTGACTTCTTTTGAAGAAGAAATACTTTCCTTTTCTGAAAGTTTGTAATCTGATCAGCAGAAGAGGTTCTCTTTTCCTTCATTTTGTTTTAAATCAACTTAAATTTGTGGCTACTGAAGTCATGGTAGCCATAATAAATTCTGGTTTATAACCATTTATTAAGTTCTGGATATTATGTCCAGGCATTAAATTAAATCCATATGATATTTGCTTGAGTGGAAGTGACTTTCTAATGGTTAAAGAAGAAGATGATAAAGCAAAATGCTGGTCATTTGTTGCTAGAAATTCAGCTTTTGTATTTATTAGCAATTATAACTATATTTCATGAAAGGAGGGCTTTAATTTCTTTCATTCTTACATGGTAAAGTTGATTTTAATTGTATGTCTGAAAATTACAAGACGCTATTAGTGACTATGGAAAATATATTTCTTGTATACTATTTTCTTTAACTTTTGAGTATTATTCAAGTATAGAGTTTCAACAAGGATGAATTGCAACATGTCCTGGGCAAAAAATTTTGCCCATGATGTTATTTTCTAGTGATATGAGGGTACAAGTCTTTGTCCCAGACTCCTAGTGGCGTTTGAACTCAAAATATGATCATGATTGTGGGATGGAATTATTAAGAGTAGAGAGGAAACTCTGGAGCACCTCATCTCACTTGAATGTCTCATTTGATTGGCTAGTTGGTTCATCTAACGCCTAATATCGACTTATTTATTGTAATTCCTTTTCCTTTGTTCAACCGATCGTCTATACTTTATTGTAACTCTAGTTGTTTTTGCTGTTTTTTGGGTTAGGAGATGCTAAAGTATTCCAAGTATTGAAGTTGGTTCTATTATTGCTTACCTCTGATAGTTGCTCACATGGTCAATTTACTTTCTAGGTGTTGAAGCTAGAGGATTTATGTTTGGCCCCTCGATTGCATTGGCTATTGGTGCAAAGTTTGTTCCTTTACGTAAACCTAGAAAGTTGCCAGGTATGTTTTGATATGTGACTACTAGTATAAGCCAAACATAAAATTTTATAGTCTTGATGAATTTGATATCTAGCTTTTGTTTACCTGGATTTTGACTTAAGGTGAAAAGATTTGTTTTTTTACCTAGCTTTTTGATGAAAAGAAGGACAATTTTTATATGCTTGTCCTGTTGGAACGAGTCAGTATCATATTGCTGGCTGCATTAGCTAGGATTTATGCTTTTCCACTTAATATGATCCATTACTTCCTCATTTAAATTTGAGGAGCTTGGGAACAAAAAACAACTTTTAGTATATTTGACCACTTTAAGGCAATTATTAGAAGCATGGTAGGATGGAAAACATCTTAAGAGGCAAATTACCCACAATTTCAGCCTGAAATGCAGAATCTGACCCATGGTGGCCCCAATGAATTGTGAACGAGCAAGTGGGAAGAAGGGGGGGGGGGGACTTTGGAACCTTGCCAAGGGAAAATGGGAAATGCATGGGAAAATTTGTCTTAGGAACATGCTAATGCCAGCAGAAACTTCCAAACTCTTCCTAATTTGAAATGGCAAGGACGGTGATAGCCAATGGTGCAATGGCTATATGCAACCATTTAATTAAAGAATGTGAGAACATCACTGTTTGTAAAGACACTGATGGTGAAAACATCCCATATTTTCAGCCAAACCGTAGATATTTAACTAAGTAAAGAGCCATCTAACCTAAATCTAAATTCTCAATACATTTCAATAGTTAATTCCTGTTGGAGCTTGCAGTGCAACCATGGTTGCCAGGGTTGTGGAAATCGTTCTGTCAACCCCCTTTTTTTTTCATAAATATTTGTTACTTGAATTGTATTTTAAACCTTTCACTATTTGAACAATAGGAGAAGTGATCTCCGAAGCATATGTACTTGAATATGGCACTGATTGCTTAGAGATGCATGTTGGGGCTGTTCAACCCGGGGAACGTGCCTTAGTTATTGATGATTTGGTGGCTACAGGGGGGACTCTTTGTGCTGCAATACGCCTATTAGGTAATATCTGGAGTTCATGCATGTACTTCCTTTTTTTTTTCCTAATTTTGCATACTTTAATTGAGTTTTTGAAAGTTCTATGACTGAAATTCTGTTTGGATTAATGCTTACTAGAACGAGTTGGGGCACAAGTGGTTGAATGTGCATGTGTTGTTGGGCTGCGTGAAGTTAAGGTAATGCATGATAGACTTCCTTTACATGTCGCATTATTCCTGAAAGTGTAATTTAGAAACCGGCTCAGGAATTAGGTTTCTTATTTTTCGACTACTGCCATTTTTGTAGGATTTAGATTTAAGATTTTCAGTTTTGCTGCAATGAATTTTTGTTTCAGAAAATAATCTACTCTCTTCTCTACTCTTTTCCAACTATCTTACCCCTTTGATCATTAAATGATAAAGTTGCTTTGAAGGTCTCCTTTGATGGATGATTAATTTTTTAATTCTTGTCTTGCTGCAAACTATTTTTGCAAATTTTAGATTTTTTATTTTTCTTTACTGTATAAATTCCTTTTCATTTAGTTTTTCCATGTTTTATTCTTTTAAAAAAGGGCTAGCATGATTATCAAATATTACAATGCTCGGAAACCGTGATGCTAATGTTATCATACTGAAGTCAACTGCAGCTGTTTTGAGTTATCTCTGGTTCGAATTTTAATAGCTCTAATTTTGTCTGCTCCTCGGCTTTTACTGATTGTTGAGCTCACTGAAACAGATGTTATATTTTTTTCCATTAAAACTTAAATTTAATATCTGCATGTTTTGCAGGGACAACACAGACTAAATGGAAAGCCGTTGTATATTCTTGTGGAGCCACGCCAGCTGACAAATTGTTCTGCACCTTCTGGTATAATCTCACTGTTAAGTTTTATCTCTATGTTGAATGAAGTTACATATTATTCAACGAGTTCCATTTTCTTTCCTTTTGTTCCCTTAAATTTGTGGGCCAGAAAAGAAGTTGAATGTATCATTCACATAAAAATGAAGTGCATTCATACAGCGCAAGGTTGAAGGCATCATTACTCTTATCCATTTTCATTTTAAAACTGCACTTTCCCCAATAAGCTGGCTATTTTTTTTACAACCCTCACTTCCCCTCCTGTTTCATCTACTTTTTTTTACAACAATTTAAGGCATGTCAATGGGAAATATTTTTTGAAGAAAAGGTTAAGAGCAATATCAATATTTTTAGAAGAGGATTTTGTAATTTATCCTTTCTTCATTTTTGTAGAAGACATTGAATGATTCAGAATCCCAATAATTGAGCTATTTTTTCCTTTATTGAGTTTTGATAATTTATGGTTCTATATGTTTTCTGAAAAGAGTAGAGATAATGGTTTACTGTCTTTTCTACAAGAAATAATGCATTGCATATCTCAAGATATTGATGTCCCATCAGGAAGAAACCTACTAGCATGTCCATGCAACTTGACTATTCTTTTCTTTCTCATGTCACACTCACATGCTTATGGTCTCTGGCTTTTCAAGTTTTTTGTGAAACTTTGTTGGTTTCTTTCTTTTAAAAAGCTTGGTTCGAATGTACTACACATTAAAAAGGCTAATTATTAGTTTGTATTATGTATTTTTCCTAGGCCTGTACCAAACTTTAAGGGGTTGACAAGGGAGGGAAAGAATATAATCATGGATGAGGATAAATAAAAAAATGTTTGTGCTTGTGTAACTGTTAGATTTAGGGGTACCCTCCCAAAAAAAAGGTCAATGGGATGTCTTTAATTTGGAATGTCGATGGATGACAGCACTAGGCTCATATGGCTGGTAAGCTCTGAAAGGACAATGTGAAGTGACAAAAGCATTAAGCTTAGGTTGATATCTAGATAAGGTTTGGGTGGCTAATTTCTTGGTGTAGAATTTAATGTTGAAATAGAATTAGCTGAAAGGTGGAATGTTCTTGGGTGCTTATTACTAATTGAAATCTTGCATAGGTGAATGCAAATCCAATTTTTAATTTACTTTATTAGTTTCTATAATCCACCAATTGATTCAGGACTTCAGGTTTAAGTGGGAAAATGAGGAAATGTTTGATGGAACATGAATACTTACCTACTTTAGTTACCTGTCAGTGGAAAAAAGAAAGAGAAGACATAACCTGAACAATATTGTTTTGATTCATTGGAAGTAGACTTGGTTCACTTGATGTTGATAAATTTGTATGTGTGGCACAGTTACCATAATAACGAGGAGAGACCAACTTTCATACTATAGCCAAGACAGTGAAAACTAATGCTGAGCAGGTCAAAACCTCAATAGGTATTTAGTCCATGCTCTGCTGTATTTTCATCTATAGACACTTTAATCACCATAAAGTCGTCAAGTCATAGTGAACTAGGAACTGATCAGATGCTATTCTGATATGATTGTTGGAAGTAATCTTATTGCTTCACAATTAGGGAGTCTTGGAATCAGAAATAACTTCAAAGAATGCTGTTTTATTGCTAAAGCCAAGCGGCGTTGGCAGTGATCATATTTGCCTCTCCATAGACACATTTTATTCTTTTAGAAATATATAAAGCTCTGTATCCAGCTGCCTGACTAACGAGCTAACTTATTTCCAGTTAATGGAGTTGCAGTTAATGGAGTCGAAACATGCAGACACAATGATCTCTACCTCTCTGCGACTTGAATATACGCATTTTCTTATTCTCGGAGCAAAGCTTGGTTTCCCATTCAATCCCATTCCAAATGTGATTAGTTTGCTGATGCTTTGGTTGTAATCCTCTTTGCCAGGGAAAGATGTTCAGGTGTATTTCATTTTAAGGCTGTTTTAGTTTTAGTTTTTATAGTTTTGAATGAATTGTTGTGGCATGTCAGTACCTGTTTGTTGTTCATTCAATTTATCATATCATGTTTGTTCCATCATTTTGTCTGCTGTTTCCGAGAGCTTGTCGATTAATATTGAGAGGCCTGTTTTTATCATTTTGTTGGTTTGAGATGACGACAACTTGGGATAGCCTCTTAGTTGCTCAACTTTTTCTCTACCTATTGATGGGATCTGAGGATGATAGACGAAAAAATAAGTAAAATTCTTTTTTAAAACACAACAATTGATTAGAATTTAGATAGCGATTGATATCATTTTTAAGATTTTAACGTGGTAATCTAATTATCATGATGATAAGTTTGCAAGTAGTTAAATTGATTGTTGAAGTAAAAAAAAAAAAGTTACTCAAATTTAAGTGATTAAATAACAAAATTAGTAATTAAATGATCATTTTAAAAATATTTATATAGTTGAGTGATCATCAATGTTTTTAATCTTATAATTTATATATGAGACATTGATTTGTATATTGTTAGTAAATTATATAATATCACTTTATCAATGAATAAATATAAATATTTATAAGTTCTTAAAATACTTATATAAAAACTTAATTTAAAAAATTTTTCATTAATAAGTTAACATTATATGAATAAAATTTAGACGCTGATATTACAATAAATATAAACTCAGTTGATTCAATTGATCAAAGGTAAAACAAATTACAAGTTGGTTATTTTTGGGGTAATCTACATAAAAAAAAATAAAATTTATTGTATTATTTACTTGAGTCGTCCGAATTTATTTATTTTTTATTTCGAAGTAAATTTATCATTATATTTTTAAATTTCAGAACAATTAAAGAATATTTCTTAGAAAATTGTGTTTTTACAATTTACTTTATGATTTAAAATCTTATTTCATATTTATTTTATAACGAGAAGTAGCAGTAAAATAGTTTTCGAGACAAATCCAGCCCAAACTTGAATGGATCTTTCATTTGTCCTAAAGGCCACCCCATAATAATCAGATAGGACCCAAGCTTACGGGCTTGGGCTGATGCTGTGTTGCAACGATGGGCTATTTTTTTTTGGGTTTCTTTTTTTCTTAGAAGAAGAGTACTAATAGTTAATGGATCAAATAAGAATTCTTACTAGAAGTCTAGAATCTATACATCAAATTTAAAAATATATTTATAATAAAATTAAATAAAAATAAATTATAAATTATAAATTATAAATTAAATTAAATTATATAATTATTTTTAAAAAATAAAATTAAAATCTCAATATTTGTAATATTTTTTATTGGTTTTAGAATGTGATCTAATTTGTATAAAAAATTAAATAAAAATAATTATTTATTATAATAACTATATTAAAAAATCATAATTCGATAGTTTTCGTTTTATTCAACCTTTTAAATTTGAAAATATAATAATTTTTGAAAAAACATCCAAACTTAATCGATTATTAAGATAGTTTCCGTTTTATTCAACCTTTAAAAATTTTGTTTGGAAAAAAAAAAAAAAGCGCATTTAAAAATATGACCCCCACCTATGCAGTTCCAGAATATTCTCCACGCGCCCGTCACCCCTTTCAAAAACCATAATAAGAAAATAAAAAATAAAACAAAAAACAAAAAACAAAACGTCACCGCTTTAAAAAGCAATGCTTTTCTTGTCCACCAGTAAACCACCATTATATATAAGAAAAAACCCCACATAACTTCAGAGTTGAGGCAAAGCCAAACCCTCTCAATCAATATCTCTCAATCAAATCGAAGAGTCACCCCCCAAAACCCTAATATTCTTTTTCCTAATTTAGAGGGAGAGGAAGTGAGAGGGGTTGATCGAGATAGAGAGTTTTTCTTTGATTTAGCAAAGGATGTCTGCGGTAGTGTGCGGGAGCAAGAGATCGTTCTTCGAGGATATCCCGTCGTCGCCATCGGCTTCTGTTTCTAAGAAGCTCCGGCGTTGCTCGCCTTCATCTCCTTCGTCTGTTCGTTTCGCTCCGCCGCGGTCTTCCCTCGATCACCTCCAAGCCCTCTTTCCTCACATGGACCCCGAGGTATTTCACCCTTTTTATTTATTTTTTATTTATATTCATAAATATATGCGTTGGTTAGATGCAGAAATGTAAAATTTTATTTTTTATTAGTAAATTTTTAAGTACTAGCAAATTAGATTACAAAAGCTTTATGACTAAGGTGTACTTTTTTTCTTGATTCCTTCTTTGATAAGTCTGTTTGGTTGCTGATATTGGAAAGTAGGGATAAAGGGACAAAATTCTAAACTTGCATTGGGTTGTGTATCCTTTAGATTCATTGCTTATCTTGCAAGCAAACAGAAATTTAATATTAGTTTTTTTTTTTTTTTTTTTTTAATGTTGAGTGAAGCGTTTTAATTCTTTATTGTAAAATTCATTTAAAAGAAAATAAGGTAATTTTCATTTTCCGACTGATTTTGTTGTAATGGTCTAACTAGTGCTGTTGTGTGGATTGAAGCCATGAAAGCAGCTGCTAATTGGAAAATCTTTGAGGTTGGGACTGTATTCAAGTCCTTTGTGCGCAAGGTCCCTATTGAGTTGGACCATATAGTGGGGATACTTCTATGATAACCTTCATTCGATACTTTGTGGAGTTGTTGTGGTTTCCTTGATTGTGCCATTTCCCACAACTGAAGAAATAGTTCTTTCTAGAACATGAACTGAATCAGTTGTTTGATTGTACAAAGTATATGTATATGAGATTACATGTTTTAGTTGGTTAAAAGATTTAGCTTTTTGTCTTCTTTTTTGTTGCTTAGCTTTTAAAATGTTTGCTTTTACTAATCCATTGTTGAGTAAGAGATTATGGACGGCTGTCAAATGGTGATTCATCTGTCTTTTCTATTAATATTTAACAACTATTCCGTTCAGCTTCTGGAGAGAGCACTAGTAGAATGTGGCAATGATATAGATACCGCCATCAAGAGGCTGCAGGAACTTTGCTTAGGAGCTGGAGAGGCTACAGGGGAAAAGATGTGTCGTGTTGAGGAACTGGGCACAACCGCTGAGCAGGGTATGCCACTTCTTGCAATTGTGATTCCTTTTTAATTTAGCATTGCCATCATAGTTTATGATGAATCTGTATTATCTAATTGTTTCTTTTTTCCATCAAGAATTTTAGTTACCTTTTCATATACTGTTAGTTGATTTTATAAAACCATTTCTATGATGAACAAACAAAGCTTAAGTGTCAATCAGCCAATTGCATGATGCTGTTGCTATCTTGATTCAAGTCTAGCTTCTGTTTGATAGTCCTTAGAATATTTTATGTGCCTAATGGGTAAATTTATTAGCAGATTGAAAGGGAATAAAACTTATAGGCTTTCTTAGAGTCTTTAAACTGTGAGATTACGCAATTAGTTTAAAAGATTCTTTTCACCACTAGTTTACCATTTTTTTCTTTTGACAGATATTCAAATCAATGAAACTATTTTTTGAATGATAGAGAAGTGAGGAGTTTCTTTATAATTTTGACTCTCCCAGTTTGATGTCTAAGTCCTTAGCTATATGCTTCCAATGTTATATTGTGGTTAAAATCAATTTCTGTAGGATATTTTCTTTAGAACAATTTAAATGTGTAACTTTTACCAAATTGTAGCCTGCTACCACAAAATTAATTCTTTTATTTTATGTTTGATTGTTGTGCCTTGTGTAAGATTTTATCTGCTTTAAGCTGTGCAGTTTCACTCATTAAGTAAGGGAACCTTACATCTGCATTTGAAATTGCAGGTACATTGACCAATGATGGAGAAGCTGATGCTGCTGTGACTCTTCAGAATCCATCAGCCCCTGAAATTTTGCCTGCTGATGGTGCAGAATGGGTAGACTTGTTGGTGAGGGAGATGATGAGCTCTACAAGTGTGGATGAAGCCAAAGCCCGTGCCTCTAAATTGCTGGAGTTTCTGGAGAAGTCCATAAGTAAACGTGCTACCGAAGAGGCAGCACAAAGTTTTCACAAGGTATGTATCTCTTAACCATCTGTGCATCTATACCTGTGATGCTTTTCCCGGGTTAGCAAGAGGTTTTTTGGTACTTATGAAGTAGCTTTTATACAAAAGGTTATATGGTGGGCACTCATGTTAGTTTTTGACATGTACTTGATTGAGATTAGCAGGAATCTATAGGATTTGCAATTAAATGTGTCTGCTCCTGAAGCTAGGCTCAGCCTGCCTTTATACCAATATGTGGTAGACATGGCCAAAGATTTCTTATGATTGCCTCCCAAAACATCATTTCTGTCCTTTCTTTTCCCCTTCAGTGACAAATTTGTCTATGATCAAGTGTGCATGGTTATTTTGGAGGAACTGAACGGTAGAGAACTTTATGGTTAAAGGTGCCACTCCTCTGAACTGTGCTTCATTGCATCTTCTTGGTTTAAAGTGGCATCGAAATTTAATTACAGAGAGGAAAGACAAAAATTAGGTGGTTATGATGGTCTTCTTGGTTCTTGAGAAATTGGAATCGCTCCTGTTAAGTCTTTGGTCATGTTGAGTGCAGAGCATGCACACTTAATCAGAATTCTAGTCCTGTTGACTAGATAATTGACACAGACTCACAGTGCCCTTTTTTTTTTTGTTTTTAAGTTGGTTAGATGCAACCATGCAAGTGGGTTTCAGAGAACTTCCTGAAAAGCAATTAATTTTCTTTAGCATGAGGAAATGTGGGTTGGGAGGTTTTGGCCTTTTGGGTCTGCAGTTGCAAATTTTTGTAGTTATTTTTGGGGTTTAGTTTTTAACATATCCATGAAATCAAACATGGGTTTCATGTTGGATAATAATGTTTTCTTTAATGTTGCTTTTAAGCTCTTAAAGATCACCTTGTTGAGTTGATTGTATCTTTATTGTCAGGAAAATATCATGTTAAAGGAACAGATTGACGTGTTGATTCAAGAAAATACAGTCCTCAAACGAGCCGTGGCTATCCAGCATGAACGTCAAAAGGAATATCAGGATAAAAGCCATGAGTTGCAACATTTGAAGCAGTTGGTGTCTCAGTATCAGGAGCAGTTGCGAACTCTAGAGGTCAGAATCAAAATCTTTTAGAACTCTTTTAGTCGATAAATGTTGTCCATAATAATGGTGAAGAATATCAATATTTAATGGATTATGCTATACCGGCAAAACAAGCATAAATATTTACATAATAAGATCTATAAACTGAAACAAGTTACTATTCTATTTAGTTCAACAAATTTATCTTCATGTTTTGCTTGTATTACAGGTAAATAACTATGCCTTGACGATGCATTTGAGACAGGCACAGCAAAGCAGCTCCATTCCCGGGCGTTTCCACCCCGATGTCTTCTAAGATAAGATGGAACGTAGGGATATGAAGTGTTTAGTATATGACCTCAGAATTAGCACAAATCTGCATATGTTGTCAGCGCTTCTTAATCCGTTTGCTTGAGTTGATATGTTTCTTATGTAGCCTGGTCTGTGTCTTATGTGGGGCCGCGGTGAGGAGGGGAGGGGCACACGCTTATTATGGAGTTTACTAAACAGTAGTAAGTGTTGATTTAACCACCAGTTTGTCAAAGAAATATCGAGTTTATATTTCAAAGTGAATCAATTTAATTTATATATGTTTTATGTATTTGGATTCTTATAATTGCTTGTTTGCTATGGATTATTGTTAGAATTTTACCACATAAATGTGTAGGAAAGGAAATTCTCTAAGAAAAAAAATTATAAATATTAAAATTTGAGTTTTAATCAATTTAATGTTATTTTTTAAAATATATTAGATGTTATTTATTAATAATACTCGTAATAAATTTTAGATTTAAAATTTTCTTTTAATTTGTTTTTAGCTTTATATATTTATTGGATTAAATTTCAGGCTAACGTTTACTTTAATTTGTCAATGAAAAAGTTCTTCAAATTTTAGGAAAGGAAAAAAATTTAAACGAAATTAAATAAAAAAAGCCAAAAAAAAAAAAAAATGGTCAGTACCATAGAAAAACGAGTTTGCCACAAATACAAAGTTACAACCACAAACCCAATCTTCCCGGCTCCGCCACTGTCCCCTCCTTTGCTCCTTCGCTCTCAATGTCTCTCTTTTGCTGGTTTGTCAAGCCGCGACTCAAGCAAACGTGAAGAAGACCAAAAGCAACATTTTCTCCTCTTAGATACCGATTTTATCAAACACTTTTGAAACAAACGCACACTTGTTTTTGGATCTTTTTTAATGGCTGCCACTACTTCTCTATCTGTACTACCTTCATCTCTTAGTTTCCCAACTGAACGCCCTTCAAACGCTTCCCAATCTTCCTCTGGTTGTTCTTCTGTTTTCTTCTATGGTGGGATCCGTCTCAGGTCCTATGACAGCTTTGCTTGTGTGAGTTCCTCTTCTTTTTCAACTTGTTCTTGGAGATTGAATAATGGCAAGATTGGTAATCAGCGTTTTCGGGTGGTGGTGGCTGCTTCTGGGGATTATTATGCTACTCTTGGAATATCCAAATCAGCTTCCAATAAAGAAATTAAGGCTGCTTATCGTCGATTAGCTCGTCAGGTACCTCACTCAACTCGACTCTTTTTTTTTTTAATTAGTGATTTATTTATTATTTATTTTGCATTTCCTTTCTGGGTTTTGTTACTGTTGCCCTTTCTTGTTGAAAAAATTGAGGGAAGGAAAGCGAAAGCTCAAGAAGACGGAAGTTCAATTGGGTGTTTTGGATAAGAGAAGGAAAGGCTTTGTTTTTTTCTCTCTCCTTTTGGTGCATATGAAAGCACGTTACTTGGGTCTTGAGTTATAAGAAAAAGAGGTATTAATTATTTTCCAGCCAAACCCGAGTTACTTACCCGAGAGCTGTAAGTTGAAAGTCTCGAGGTTTAATTATTTTAATGGGTGGATATGAAGGAAATGATAATATCAGTGGCAAAGTAGTTCTATGATTAGCAATTAAATGATTGTACTCCATTCTTGCTTCTCAGAACAAGATTTGGTTGGTGCCTTTTATCTCGTGCTTTCAACTATCTAATTTGTCTTGATTCAATCAAGCTATTTCTTTCCCCTAGGAAATAACTCTTCTGAAAAGGTAGATTTGTTGTTCTTTGTAGATGTTTTGCTGTTTAGCTTCATCATCTTTTAATTGTAAATGCACTTTCTTATAAATTTGAAACTACCAAGTTTGTATTGGAACTGTATGCACTAATGATTTGTTTATTTGTTAACTTTTGTTTTGTTTGTCTTGGTAACCCTAACGTTATAACTTTTCATCTTGATTTGAAGTATCATCCTGATGTCAATAAGGAACCAGGAGCAACTGAAAAGTTTAAGGAGATTAGTGCTGCGTATGAGGTATGCACAAAAAGTTTTTGACCAATGATTTTAAAAAATTTTCCATGAGCACTACTGTGTATGAGGTCTTCATCCTTTCTAGATTTTTTTGCCGGGGGAGGGGGGAGATATAAAATTGTCATGATACTGTAAGAACTATGGCATACATCTCAGGATTGTTGATCCATTTGTACATATGTCCAAAGCCATGTGTCAAACATAGAATGAGATGCATTAATGTTAAACAACATTAATACTGAGGTTAAAAAGACAGTGAATGCCAGGTTTCTAATTTTTTATTTTGATATGTGATCCATGATATGTCAACCTATTATTTACCTTCTAGGGGGAGAAATCTAGAGTTAGGCCCTGTAGGATCTTGATCAAATCCTCTCAAACTTAAAACAATTTCAGACTCCAGATAAAGGAGGAATTGGAGGTAAAGCCTGTTGAAAAAGCATTTGAAAGCCCAACAAACGAAACTCAATTACACCATATCATCCTTGAGAGGTGATAAAACACATATAATATAGATCCTGCTTTGAACAGGGAAAGCAATTTTCAAAAGGGTGAGTTTATTATGGTTTCAAGTTGATTAATTGTCCTTCATGTGTGTTGGTATCTTTCTATATCATTATGCATTGTTAATACAGATTCAACAAGCCTTGAAATATTAAGATACCATTTCTGTTGCTTATCATATAATTGCATATGAAGATTTTGATATTTATCATGTCAAAGAACATGATTGTTTTATATTTTATTCCTTTTTCTGTTAATGACATTTCAATTTGTGGAGTATAGAGTGCTGCAAAATTTCCTTCCTTGAGGTTTCATTGTGTAAAATTACATTACCATGTTCAAAATCATTCGTCATGTTGTTTTTTGAACAATGAAGTGCAACAATGTCAGGTGCTATCAGATGATAAAAAGAGAGCTTTGTATGATCGATACGGTGAAGCTGGAGTTAAGAGTGCTGTAGGGGGACAGTCCAGTGCTTATACGGTATGCATCCAGTATGTGTATTTTTTTTTATCGAGTGTAGTTCTACTCATTAATGGCTAGGGATATCTGACATATGCTTTAAGTGTCAACGTGCTTTACTTGTTGATTATTTGGTGAAAGATATGTATAGACAACAAGCTGCCTGTTTTATTATTCGTTCCTAAATATTTGGTTGTCTGAGCATAAGAATAATGTCATTTTAAATGTCGAATTTAAAGGGTCAAATAATGATTGTGGGAAAATTATTGGAGAGCTTTGTCAGCATGGCCATTTGAGTCATTATTACCTTATCACTTGCCAAATTGTGAGCAGTAAATCTTTAATTTGTCTACTTAGTTTGTTCTAACATCTAGGTTTTAATTGCTAAGTTTCACATTAGATGGGGAAATAAAGCAGTTATGTGCCTATTGTTTTGTGAAAACTCGTGATGGATGCTTTATGAACTAGCATGCAATTACCTGGGCAGTACTAGCAGCTTTAGACTGCTGTTACTCTTAAGTACAACTTAGACAATATTTTCATTCTCCTGCAGACTAATCCCTTTGATCTCTTTGAGACATTCTTTGGACCAAGTATGGGTGGTTTTCCTGGCATGGATCAAACTGGATTCAGAACAAGCCGTCGTAGTACGGTTACTAAAGGTGATGATATACGGTAAGTTGAGATCTGTATTTGATTTTTGAATGATAGTTATTTGTTCGTCAATCATTCACTTTGGTTAATGTGAGTGCTGATTGACTGAGTGCTTTAGCATGTTTAACAAGCTTGGCCACAGTCACCTATACATCTTTTTTTATGTATTCTATAATAATGAGATTGATCTAATCTAGCACTGTCTACTTATCTTTGCTTTATGAGCTTAATTATTTCTGCAGTGTTTCTTTTGCTTGCTGATGTCTTTATCCTTCACTTTTCTTCTTTTTTTTTTTTTCCATTTTTTGGGGATTGGAGGGGTAACGGTGATGGTGCTGGTGGTGTTTGCTATTATGGGATTGTAAATTTGTTAAATGTTTTATGCTTTATAAACAATTTCATTTCCTGGAAGTTACTAATAATAATCATCTCTGATTGTAAAATGGATGTGGTGACTTGAACTCCTGGTATCCTACTGAAAACATAGAGCATTATTGACTAGTCATGCAGGGTGTTACGTTGACTAGTCATAGCATGGTGCACCATGCCTAGTATAATGGTTTTCCTTTAGACAAATCAAGTTGGCATTATCATCTGATGTATTGGGAATGCCAAATTGCCTTTGCATCACTTTCCTGCATAATGTGGAAAATGAGCCTTCCAAGTTTGACGTTTTCTTAGGTTCTCTTTGCAAGCTAGTATAAGAGTTGATTAAGTAATTCTATTTACCAAAAGATGGTTATGAATTAGAAATTAAATAACAATCTCCAAAAATTTCTGAACATGCCTATGCTATATTCTGTGTTTCTCTTGTGCCTGTGTTAGTGTTTCTTCATTATATATTGTTGAATTACCTTTTTATCAATTTTTAGTCCTATAGTTGGTGCCCACACTAGAGGGTTAGCCCTCCTATTTCACTAAGCATTTATCTATTTCCAATAATTGACTTTCCAATTATTTGATTGTTTTCTTTTTATGCTTAAATCAGTGCTTCTCTCTGCTTTTTGTATATATATATATATATATATATATATATATATATATTTTACAAAACCAGAGAGAATACTACAACTCAAACCCACTATCCCTACCTAAATCCCACTCTATCCTTCCCATCACTTGAGCTAAGCCCAAGCAACAGTGCTTGTCTTTTCTATAAGTATTAGATAGTGTTGTGTAAGTTTGATTGTGAAAGAAAGATATCATATATGTTAGTTAAGAGCCCTTGCTTGCTAATAATGTGTATTCATATGACAATATTACTTGCAGGTTCTTTTATGTGTTTCTGTAGCTATGCATCATTATGTCTTTGTTCAAAGGCTTTTATATTTCAATATTATTCTGATAATTTGAAATATTTTCAGTTATGACATTACTCTAGAGTTTTCGGAGGCTATTTTTGGGGCTGAAAAGGAATTTGAGCTTTCCCATTTAGAAACATGTGAAGCTTGTCTTGGTACTGGAGCAAAGGTTGGGTCAAAGATGAGGATATGCTCAACTTGTGGTGGAAGGGGTCAAGTTATGAGGACTGAGCAGACACCCTTTGGTTTGTTTTCACAGGTAATTGGAATTTCTTTTGTGCCTTTTGGAATCCTAATTTCCTTCTTTTTTTTTTGGTTGGAGGGCAGGGACAGGGGTTGTTAGGAAGTAAGGCTTTTCATGATCATTTCCCAACATGGCCTTTTGTCTACGTTTTAAGTGTGCAATTGCCTTTAGGATCAGGACCTTGGTGGTACTAGGCATTCTATTTAATTGTAACAATTGCCTACTATATCTACACATTACATATGTCCTGTAACCAATGGTGAAATTGAGGTGATGTTGACTGATACTTGAGTTGGTCATGTTATATGCTACCAAATTGAAAGCCATATTGTGAAAAAGAAAAAGAAGAGTTGAAAGTGGAGAGTTTTGCTCCAACGATCAGTTTTGTACAAAAGAAAAAACTATTGCTTTACTGCAGCAGGAATAATGGTAGAGCCATAGAGGTACATTGTTAAATTTGCCACACTGAAATGGTAAAGCCTCTGAGAATTACTAGATAAATTTGGGAGATATTGTTTACCAATGAACTTTTTAATCTCATCTGTAGAGGATTTTTGTCTAACCAGGTTTCTAGTGGACAACTTATGATGCAATTACACAAAGGATTACAGCCATTTAAGTTGTAGCAGTTTTATTGATTCAAATTGAAGAATTTGGCTCAAGAAGCATGGGAGAAGTAACACCCAAACCCTTGTTCTGTTCTTTCTTTTAGTGCAGAACAGAAATATCAAAGGAGGCATTGAACATTAATATTTTCATGGTTGAATATATAAAATTTTTAACTGTTTACTAGATAAGAAAGCAATCATGTTTGTAAATATAATGCATTAATTGTTCTTTTTTTTCTCAAGGTTGCAGTTTTGATCTTGATTTCTGCTCATAACCCACGTGTAAAGACTTTGTTGTAAGATGTTGCTTATATAGCTTCTCCTTTGCAATATGTTAGGTTTCTGTTTGTCCAAATTGTGGCGGGGATGGTGAAGTCATTTCTGAATACTGTCAAAAATGCTCTGGTAAAGGATACATACGAGTTAAGAAAAATATCAAAGTCAAAGTTCCTCCTGGAGTTAGTGCGGGCAGTATACTCAGAGTTGCAGGGGAGGGCGATGCTGGACCAAGAGGGTATGTGGATGAGCATTTTTATTGTAACTCTAATCATGATGAGGTCTTCTGGTACTATTAGGTGATTGCATTCTAAAGTTCCGTTTTTTCAATTATAAAAGGTATGTTCTCACCCTTAAAATATATTACCAAGTAAATATAAGCTCCATCTCCTGGCAGCCATAATGACCTTTGGACCTGATAGGAAAGAACTTGCTGCTTGGTTTCTCGGCAGATTTTAATTTTAATTTGTATTTACTTTTTGAATGAAACATTGGTGAATTGGCTATAGTGAAAAAGTAGAGAACTGGTGGTTGCCTATGTGAAGTTAAAATGCTAGCCAAAACGTATATTTTATGTCATGACAGCCAATTCATGTTACATTGAATCTTAATTAGCAGTGAACTTTGACAGAAATTTTTGCTTACCACTTCTATCCAGTCTTACATTTTAAAGTCAAGATTGCTGAAGTTTGCTTTAAATTGTGATGATAGTGATATTCCTTTTCTTATAGTCCTTGATTCTGTTGGAATCAGTTTAATTTCTTGTGACTGTACTATGATTCTATTGCATATATTCATGGTATTTTTTTCTCATAGAAGTTAGTAAGGGCAGTGTTCTTTCATGCTGCTTTATAAACATTCCACTTTATTTTCTTTCATTTTCTTCTCAGCTAGTGTCTTTTTTTTGTATTTTTTTATAATTAGATCTATAAATATAATAATTCTTTCTCATTATTTCTTCCAAGGAAGTATATTTTTGGTCTCATATGGTTGCTTCTCCCTTGATTCCTTTAAATAAAATTTGTCTACATAAGAAATAAAACTTACTTTTGGGGAACTAAGAACTTGTGGCTGCAGATTTTTTACATTAACCTCTTGTTTCCACTTTCACCTTCAGGGTTTATGCAGTGATCAGATGTACGGCAAAAGAAACTGTAGTCTTACGTCTTGGATATTTAGTCCTTTACATTTAACTCTTCCTTATAAATGTTTATTTGAAAGATCTGTGGTAATTTCCCTTGTCCTTGAATATAAAAAACTTTCTGGTTTCTGCAGGGGCCCTCCAGGAGATCTTTACGTATATCTTGATGTTCAAGAGGTAACAGGAATCCAAAGAGATGGCATAAATCTTTCTTCAACAGTGTCCATTAGTTACGTTGATGCCATACTGGGGTCTGTTGTCAAGGTAGTTTTTCACTGAACTTTGTCTGTGTCATCATTTATTCATGCATTGAATTCTTGATGCCTTAGTTTTCATATCAATTATTATAAATTAAAGAAGTGCAAAAGTTTTGAGCGGAAAAGTGCGTGCTTCCATATTTATGCACAAATATGTAGAGCACCTTTATGCATGGTAAAAGCATGTATCTGCATACTTTTCTAATGTTCTCTCTCTTTAATATTTTTGGTTCTTATTTGGTTGAAGATTGTTTTCAGTATTTTATTTTTATTAGTTTATTGTGCAATCCTATTCCTATCTGTCATCCCTTCCCTTACATAATCGTCTTCTCAAGGTGCCATCTTAAATGCACTGCAAAACCTGGAATAACAGGGGAAACGGGCATTTGGCATTATGCCAAAAGGACTGTATTTACAAAGTCTCATCATTGCCCTCCGCACCTAAGAAAAATTGTTTTCTGTTTTGCTTGGCAATATCTGCTAAATAGTGGTTTGTTAACATGATATAAATATAGTGTTGGTGGCAACTATATTCCTATTTTCTCTTTGCCAACATCTTGTGCTTTATCAAATATTTGATGCCTTTTCACTATAACAGGTGAAAACAGTGGAAGGAGTAACTGAACTACAGATCCCACCTGGCACTCAGCCTGGGGATGTATTAGTCCTTGCAAGGAAAGGCGCACCAAAGCTGAACAAACCTTCTATACGTGGTGACCATTTATTCACAATTAAAGTTACCATACCAAATAGAGTAAGGTACGAGATTATCTTTATTAGCATTTAGTTATACGGAAAGAGGATAGCTAAACTGTATGGCGAATTAAATATATCATTGTTTATGATCATTTGTCATTTTTGTAGATGATCCTTCTAGACCATATCAAGTCTCCTTCAACTGTAGGTCAATTTCTCATAGGTCCTCCATTTTTCATTAGTAATAAAAACGTCTCTTCAGCTTGTTAAATTAGACCAGTTGGTTCCAGTATCTTTATTCGTCTTAGCTGAAATTAACAATTTGTTCTGTAGGACATTTATGAAAAGTCAGCTAAATTCATATTGGTTAATCGTTTTTCATATTTTTAGTTAAAGTAATAAAAATGCCACCATACTATGATTCAATGAATTTAACCATTGTACTTCAGTTTTCTTGAATTTTGCCACTATACTTTCAATTTCTTTACTTTTCAGATAAAAAGCAATGGAATCAGAATATGCCCATTACTGCAAGTGGCAAATTTCCGTTAACTCGATTATTTTTTGTCCAAAAATCAACAAAATTGAAAATATAGTGGCAAAATTCTATAAAATGAACTGCAGTTGCAAAATTCAAAATTGACCCATAGTATAGTGTCAAATTTGGCCTTAATCCCTGATGTAAAGGACAAATATACATTTTAGTGGCCCAGTCGGAGGTGAGAATGGTGCAATCGGTGCGGTATAAGATATATATTTTTTGTTAATTACACATGGTTTTGATTTTGAATCTTGTTAAGAGTTACATAAAATGTAGTTCATGATAGGATTTGTATATTATATTAAATTAGGTAGTTGTATGGTGTTTTACTTTATGTTAATGATTTTTTTTGAGAAAGCAGTTGAATAGTTAAAGTGGTTTATTATAATGGCCTATTATTGAATACCATTGGCTGTATTCAATCTGTTACCTCAAAGGCTTGAATCAATTGAAATTAGTTATTTCTGCTAACTTCATGCTGTAATTCTTTCTTATATTTGCAGTGCCAAAGAGCGAGAATTGCTTGAGGAACTTGCCTCTCTGAGTAATACAACCGGCGGCAGCCGCTCACGAACTCGCCCTAGAACTCAGCCTGCCAGTAAGGAATTGCTTCACTTTGTGCATATAACTTTCTTTTTATTTGTTATTTATAAGTAATGAAGCCGTGTGCACAAGATTTGCTGTTATATATGGCCTAAACTTTCAGAATTTAGTAGTCAAATACATTGTGATACTAACCTCTCACTGTCACCAATCCGGGCTATGCGAAGTTGTATTCTTTGTCTTATGTTCTGCAAGATCAATGCTGTGGCAAGCATAGGTATTAGTTGCTTACTCTTTGGATTATATGAATTAAATGTACACATTTATTTATGCAGCCAATACTACCGAATATAAGGTTGGTACGGATACAGAGAAAACTGAAGGAGCAGCAGATCAGAATGATCCGTGGACAAAGTTAAAAGATTTTGCAGGGTACTCTCTCTGTCTCTCTCTTGCTGTAAATTTTACCAAATAAATTGAAGTACAAATGTTAGCTGCATTTTGTTATTAAAAAAAAAAAAAAAACCTTGCAATGATGTTTAATTCTATGGCTTGGGGCATGGACTTTCAAGGTTGATGCATGGATAGTGGTGCAAGATCCAGTGATCCACTGCTCCATGTCTTCCTGTTGCATGTTTTACCACTTTTCGGTGTAAACTATCTCGTCTGACAACTTTTACATCGTCTTCTGAAAACTTCAGAAGTTTCCAAAGCCGGTTTTACAGTCTTTTCATTATGCAATAATCATCAGCACCAAATCGCTCTTTTTCAATGTTGTGTTCATTTCAAACGCTTTTATGTTCTAGAGAGGAAATTTTCGCCATCCATTGCATTTATAAATTTTTTTTCTTTTGCTAATTGCCGGTCTTATGTTCTTTGATTCTTAAACACTCTGATATTTGCAGGTCTGTTGCAAATGGTGCGCTTAAATGGCTGAAAGACAACCTGTAATCTGATTTCTGGATTAGGTTAAGCCTAAAGTCAGCAACACCTGCCCTTCAGTACTATATTGCTAAATATTTTTTCATCCGAGGGTTCTCAAGGACCGTGGGATCGCATAGTTGGGGGTTAGCTTTCACTGCAATTTACCTGGTAATAGGAAAAAGAAAACGGCATTGAGCAAATTGCAAATTGCAACCTAGTGGAAATTCTTTTAAATTTTTTTAATGCAAATTAAGTATTTGAAAAGTTGATAAAGTTGTCCTCACTCAGTGCCATCCATCTCTAGTATCGACTATAGAGCAGTTGGGAGGCTGTAACACCTGACATGGTGAATGTAGTAAATATTTGTATACTACTGTATTTCTCTCTCAGCTATCTTGAATCTATCTTTTACTGTGTCAAATATGCCAACATCCGATAAGTTAGTGAACTTTACACAGGCTGTGGGTATTTTCTTCATTCAATTTTTACTTAAGATTGTCGAAATTAGAAGTGACATCTTTTTGAGTCTTTTTGTTGTTTTTAAATAAATTTTCATATTTTTACGGTATTTAAAGAAATTATTATATCTTGATTTGTATTCAAATAAAATTTTATTTTAAATAAAAAAATTTATGTTAAGGGTTTATTTATGTATAAATTAAAAATTTAAAAATTTATTTGAATACAAGAGTGTATTTACCTACTCAAATGTAATAAAAGTATTAAAATATATTTAAATAAAGTTGTGCAATTCTGGAACTTGTTCCATATTTTATGTCCCCAATTCTCCTCAAACTCCATCAGCTCCCATTTGTCGAACAGGTTGTCCATGGGCCAAGCCATTTACAGCCCATTATTTAACTGATTAATGCATAAAAGAAACCTGAACGGCTGAACCCGCCATATCCAAATAATCTCTGTTGAAATTGGCAGCATCCCTCTTTCAGAATAGCTAAAATTGCTCTAACTGCTGCAAAACCCCCTCACAGACTTCTTGAAGAGAAGTTTATTTCTCTCTTACAATCATGTAAGACCTTAAAACATCTCTTCCAAATCCAAACCCAAATATTGACTCATGGCTTTGACCAGAACAAGTACATATCTCCAAGATTTATGGCAGCATGTGCTCAAATGAAGCAAATGGGCGTTGCCCAGAAAGTGTTTGATAAAAATCCTGAACCAAATGCGGCTCTATGGAACTCAATGATTAAAGGGTATGCAGAAAATGGGTTTTATGTAAAAGTTTTATTCTTGTTTAGTCAAATGAAAAGCATGGATTTTTCATTACCCAATTGCTTTACTTTTCCTATTGTTCTTAAATCTTGTTTGAAGTGTAACGCTTTGACAGAAGGTGAGGAGGTGCATTGTGTAGTGATAAAAAGTGGTTTTAAAGGAAACCCTTTTGTGGGAACTACGTTAATCGAGATGTATTCTGGTTCGAGAGTGATTGGAGCAGCTTATAGAGTGTTTAGTGAAATGGTTGACAGGAATGTTGTTGCTTGGACTTCAATTATTAATGGGTTTATTTTATGTCGTGATTTAGTTAAGGCACGTTGTCTTTTTGATTTGGCTCCGGAGCGCGATATTGTGTTGTGGAATATTATGGTTTCGGGCTATATTGGAACGGGGGATATGGTAGAAGCAAGGAAGCTTTTTGATCAGATGCCGAAAAGGGATGTAATGTCATGGAATACAATTTTGCATGGCTACGCTAGTAATGGGGATGTTGAGGCTTGTGAGAGGTTGTTTGAAGAGATGCCTGAGCGGAATGTTTTTTCATGGAATGGATTGATTGGAGGGTATGCAAGAAATGAGTGTTTCTTGGAGGTTTTGGATGCTTTCAAGAGGATGTTAATTGATGGTAATGTTCTTCCTAATGATGCTACACTTGTGACTTTGTTGTCCGCATGTGCAAGGTTAGGAGCTTTAGATTTGGGAAAATGGGTTCATGTATATGCTGAGAACAATGGATATAAAGGAAATGTTTATGTTGGGAATGCTTTAATTGATTTGTATGCAAAATGTGGGCTGATAAAGAATGCTGTTGATGTGTTCAAGAGCATGGATAAGAAGGATTTGATAAGTTGGAACACAATAATTGGAGGCCTAGCAATGCATGGGCGTGGAGCTGATGCCTTATATCTCTTTTCTCAAATGAAGAATGGTGGAGTGATTCCAGATGGAATTACCTTCATAGGTGTTTTGTGTGCCTGTACACATACGGGTTTAGTTGAAGATGGCATTTCTTATTTCCAATCTATGGTAGATGATTACTCAATTGAACCTCAGATTGAGCATTATGGTTGTATGGTTGATCTGCTAGCTCGAGCTGGTCTTTTACCACAGGCTATGGATTTTGTGAAGAAAATGCCAATGGAGGCAGATGCTGTTATTTGGGCTGCCATACTTGGAGCATGTCGGGTTTACAAAAATGTTGAATTTGCCGAACTTGCTCTTGAACAGCTCATTAAATTTGAGCCAAATAACCCTGCAAATTTTGTCATGCTTGCAAACATATATGGGGATCTTGGTAGGTGGAAGGATGTGGCAAGATTAAAAATTGCAATGAGAGATACTGGTTATAAAAAAGTACCTGGATGTAGCTTGATTGAGGTTAATGATGATGTTGTTGAGTTTTATTCTCTAGATGAGAGGCATCCTGAAACAAAGGAAATATATGGAGCCTTGAGGGGATTGACTAAACTGTTGAGATCATGTGGGTATATTCCAGATCTTCAAGAGCTTGAGCAGGGGGGTTAAGGTAAAAAGAGATAGGATTAATGTTTCGTATAGTCCCTAACTATAGTGAAATGTTCAATGTGGCCATGAACTTTAAAACTCTCTAACGTGATACCTAAATTATGAATTTACTAATTAATGTGGTATTTGAAGGGTTGTTTGTTTGTCACGTGTTATCTTTGAAGTTAACTATGTTAGGGGTGAATGTCACATTAGTTAACAGATTCATCGTTTAGGTATCACATTAGAGAACTTTAAAGTTCATGTACCACATTAAACATTTTACTAAAATTCAGGAATTATTCCTGACATTAACCCAAAGAGATATTACAGAATCTAGTAGAGTCATTGGTCAGGATGACATATCTCTAGTGGTTGAGTTTTGCTCCCATCCTATTTCAACATGTGATATGTCTCAAGTGGTCTTCTTTTAGTTGTGATTGTCAAAGATTCATGAGCATCTTTTAAAGAAGTTCTGGAATCTGGAATAAACTTGCTTTGTGGATAGCCTCACGTGCTGTGCCATATGTGACATGAACTTTCCTGTTTTATACAATTCAGCTTTACAGGTGAAAAATTGGAGCTCAACCTTTACTATTGTTGATCAGACCTCGAATAGGCAATGCTGCAGAAGAATATTGAAACGATTGAATCCAGAGATACGATTGATCTGTGGAAGAAGTTAAAAGATTTTGAAGGGTAATATTTCTTCTTTCTCTCAAATCACCCTATATTTCTATAATCTACCATAATCGATCAACATTAGACAGATTCAGAATTATTAATGCGAGTCAGATGTAGGCTCTTTTACATGATACAATGTGCAATCAACCTTTTTAATTGTATGTCTCAGGGGCCACCATGGTGCTCATGATTGTTTGTCAAAAGCCAGAGTGCTTTTTCAATTCCAAAGGATGTTAAACACAAAAGCTAGCAGTCATACTGTTTTCCTCTTTATCATTTTATATCACCCATTTTAAGCCTGGATGAAGGTGAATTCATTGGATGGGGAAAATAAATTAGTGATTGATGTATATCACTACCAGAAGTCCAGTATAGAAGACTGAATCAAACTGAAAAGTAACTACATAAATGAGCAAAATGAACGGTTTACCTAAGCCATCCAGTGTGAAAACATGGTTAATCCAGCTAGATTTCCAATTCTGATCTGCTCAATTCATTCCAGCTGCCATCAACTAGAAGATAACAAGTCTTGTCTTGATTCAGCAGTTGTCCAACATTATACAGCTGAGGTCTGAGATTTAAAGTGAATGTCTGCTCTGTAATGCCAGCAATGCACCAGCTCTTCTCAGCCCGTATGGAAACTTGTAGCATTCCTTATCATTAGCTACTTTTTTTTAGTTGCAGTGGATTTAATAAACATTATTCAGGTTGAATGGTTTTAAATATTTAACAACTATTCTGTGAAGTTTTTGAATAAATCATAGTGAATGGTTGATTCTAGTTATTTTTTTTCTCCTTTTAGAGCTTAATAGACCTTTGGTACAAATTAAAGTTTAGTGAGGATAAAAGTGAAAAGGTGTATAAGTAATTTAGTTATTTTCAACAAAAATTACATCCTACTTAAAATTGCAAATAAATAATTTTGTAAAGAATTCCAGATTTTCCTTATTTCTATCATAGAGTTTCATAAACATCCTCATAATTTGTTTTAACAAAAATACACAACCAACTAATGCTATGGTCCAATGTGACTTTATCTGTTAATTAGTTGAAAACCTTAATCTAAGCATAATTTTGAACGGTTCATGAAATTATATAGAGACAGTGACTGGCATTAGAATTTGAAGTTTCTGATCAAGTATAAAGGGAAAGACCGGAGTCTCAAAATGATTCAATTGAGATATATATATATATATATATATATATATATATATATAGAGAGAGAGAGAGAGAGAGAGAGAGAGAGAGAGAGAGAGAGAGAAGACTTGAACACAACACAACAAGAAGGATGGTTCATAAATAAAACCTTAATTAGAAGAAGGCAAATAACTCCCCATAACCTTGTAGGTTCTAATACATTCCTTCCTTTGTCATGCTATTCACTAGTCTATCACTACAGGTTCAAATGCAAAAGAAACACAAGCCATCCCAGACAGAGATGCCAAATTTTTGTCTAGCTAGTAAGGTTTAGCAGCTAGCATATACCGGAGTCCAAGCAGAGCAGTTAACAGACTTTGTCACTTGAAAAAAAAAGACATCAGAGTCACTAAAGTCGAAATCAAGCTCATCCAAAATTCCAAATAGTTAAAATAATAAATAGCAGAGCTATATGGCAGATTCACTATATTACGATATTAATGAGAAAGTCTAATAAGAAACAAATATGAATTCAGAATTTGTCATTATCCACATAGTTGTTATATCTTTACAAGAATTTGCTCAGAACAGTTTTCCTCAAGGGGGTCTCCTTTTCCTCATCATCTTCATCAGACTTAACATGTGTTTAGAGCACAACGTATTACAGAGTTCACCTGCTTCCTCAATCTTGCATTATCAACAAAAATATCTGTTAGCATCTTCCTTAGCTCGTCTATGGTTCTTTTATCACTGCCTTTCATTTTGAGAAGACTCATCCAATCTAGCCACAGAATTTTCTACATCTTGTGCAAGGAGCTGTGCCTGTCCATGAGTAGAGAAGTCAGCACTAAAAGGAAAAAAAAAAACTATTTGATAGAAAACACTGAAAAACTGACGCATTCCCATGGTTATGGTGATAGATATAATGCAATTCCCATCCCTCACCCCTTTTTTTTTTTTTAATGAAATATCATTCCCCCACACCTTACTAAAAGATTCAATTCAAAACAAGCCAAACTTTTGTAGCTTGAAAGTTAAATAGCTCCTTTAAGCCCTGATTCCAAACCTGTAACCTGGAAATTCTTTTCTTCTGTTTAACTTTGGTTATATTTTATAATGCATGAAATCACAATAATAAAAAGGGCTAGCTACCGGTTAGCATCTGGTATGCAACATGCACATCACTACCTTAATACGGTAGACATACAGATATAAAGAAATGTGCATTCACCGACACATACATTCATGCCAGTTAGAAAGCAATTTTATAACTATCATAATAGGGGACAATTTCAAACCTTAATAAACAGTAACTTCTTGCCTATACTTTCTGAGAGAAAGGGTTTCAAGAGTATGTCAATACAAAGAGTTCATAAAACTGAATCTGAGTGCAAAGGATACCTCAGTAAGAAGGAGACGGATTCAATTATCAGATGTTGTCAAGAGATCTAGAGTGTCGGAGATGAAGTATCAATAATCAATTTATCCTCCTCCTCACTGAGAAAATTAACACTACATTCTTGAAGCAGATCTCGAAGAAGATTACATTCATGAAGCAACTTTGTATTTGCAGCATTGGCATGCTCCATCCTTTGCTCTTCCTTCTGCAGAACCCTCTGAAAAATGCACATGGAACAACAGAATGAGAATTTATACCTGTTAAAATAAATCAAACCTACAAAAAAAGTTTCCTTTTGAAGAGGAAGTTTTCCTATATAACACCCTAGCAACGGCTTTGTAAATCACTTTTCTTTTCATCTACTTTTTGATACTCCACCATTTATATAACATGTTCAGCATAGCAAAAATTTGCAATCTCTATCATGAAAGATTAAATTTGTGACAGAATTCTCCAGTTTCTGCAATGTCTTTAAGATAAGGAATTAAGAACTTCAAATTGCCTGAAGTAGAAGAAAGTACTAAAGCACAAATCTTCACTCATTGACTTTTCAGATAGTCTTTAACATCTTCTTTTAAAGGGATAGTCTTTAACATCTAAAAATAGAAGTTTTGACACTTATCAAGGTTCTTCTACTTCTTCCAAAAAGATAACAAGAAACTTAATGTACATGGGTAGTCATCACGCATGACAATCAGTCACCATCTGAAATGTTTCTTACTTTACATGCCTTTACCATAAGGTTCTAAAGTCAGTGAACCACATTCCAATCAACATGCATTTAGAGCCAACATTCCAGTCAGGAATGCATGAACAAACCACTGGAACAACAAATTTATCCAGCCCAAAAGGACCAAGGAAAGTGATACTATAAAAGTGAAAAAAGAACTTATATATATATATTTATAGAGAGTAAAACTTACACCAATATAAGTTTTACACTCTTTTTTGACCCTTAGATCAAAATTAAATTCATGATCAAAATAATATTTCTGATCTTAGCCATTTTGATCCAAGGGTCAAAAAAAGTATAACACTTACACTGGTGTAAGTGGATCCCTCCTCACATGTATATATAAGACTCCTTTCATGATACTTTTAGCCGCAAGAGAAAAACGAAAAAATAAGGCAAAAAGACAAACAGATAAAATATTATAATTTCAGTAAAAGATAATGAATTACCTCCAATTCTAGTTTTTCTTTCATCACATGGCTAAGCTCTTGCTTCAATTTGGATTGAGAACTTCGAAGAGATTTGACCTCCTTAACAAGTAGCTTTACATCTGCTTTTGATTTCACCTCTAACTCCTCGTTATATTTATGCAAGTTCACAAGCTGTTCTCTAGCAACATCTAACTCTTGCAGCAACATTTTACTCTCCCTCATGATTAATAACTTTACTGACTCAACACTTGCCCTTTCATCCTGGAATATTTTAGCACTTATTAACTAAAGCTTATCACTTATTTAATAATCAGTTATAAATAAGGAAATGTCAACAACGCAAAGAAACCTGTTCAGTCTTTAATTTCAATTTCATCTCCAAAAACTGCTTTCGCAGTTCCTCTATATCCCACTGCATTTGAGTATCTTTCTCTTTCAAGCAAAACAGCTTGCTGCATGTTTTCATCTCAATTCTCTCTAGTGGTTTCAAGTTCCACTTCCAAATCCTTGACCTGCAAGAGAAAATCCTATCAAGTCAGTCATATTAATGATGCTAGTCAAGTTAAATTAATTTTCATTAAGTATGTAAAGACAACCTTTTTTAATACATACAAAAAGTATGGCCAAAATCCAAGCAGAATGGAGGGAAAATTTTCGTTGACAAACCTAACTGGTTTGAGATTAAGGCTTAGTTGAGTTGAGTTGAGTGGAGTTTAGTTTCAACACAATTAATTCCATTATCATATAATCATGAACCAGGGCATCCAGCTCCCAATAACATTGAAGCTGTAAAGAAAGGTTTTCCAACTGCAAGTAACCATTTCTCAGTCTTAAAAACAGTTCACAAACCTATTAAAATGCATTACTAAGTCCATAAATCTGACAAATCAATTTTAGAATAATGTTCAGTTTATAAGGAATCCAATTTGAAATCTTCTAATCCTTTCCAAATATCAATATTGTCAGTCTTCTTACACACAGCAGCTAGTTAGTTTTATGGCCTTTAACACCCAATATGAGTTGTAATGATTGCCCATACTGAGCTTCAACAATTAGTCTTGAGCAATTTATTTTGTGAAATTATTTTCCATGCCAGCAATGGCCCACAATTCAGACAAGCAATGTTAAATGTTTTAGTTCATGTTGCCTCTATAGCAATAACACTGCCAAAGCCTAATTTAACTGCCCAAGAGCTAATGTTCACTGAATTAGCTGCCTCTCCAAATTAAGGAATTATTCTTTGAAAAATGTCAAATTCTCCACTATATTATGCTTTGAAATCCTTTCACATGCCCATCCTTGCAAAAAAATAAATAAATAATTAAGTCATTTTTGGGTAGTAGGAAGTTGACTAGTAGAACTAGTGATGTTCAGCAAAAAGTAAACTAACGAGACCCTACACGTTTAGCATTTCCACACCACACATTCTCTCTCGAGAAATTTATCAATACCAAACACATACTAGATTGAAAGTTTGAGCACAAAGTCCATTTTATCCGAAGATCATAAACGTTAAAGCTAAGTCTCACCAGCTAATCACCAAACAATGATCACAGATCATAAAAGTTACCATCTCTTTCTTTCATATATTTTGTGGACTAACATCATAGACTCCTAAAGAAAAGTTTATTTAGGCAACTTGAGAAGGTAAGGATCCTATTGCCACATATTTAAAGCAAGAAAATCCAAGTTCAAAGCAATAAGAAGCAATTTGAGGATCCCTAATCTTCTGATATCACAGGTCAGCATTTAGGCATTTGAGGGGAATAAAGATATTATCAATGATTGCTTCCAATATTCTCATGCCACTTAAGATCTACTAACTAAGCAACATAATTAGATAACTACTATCATTGACATTGGAAGATCAGAAAATGAAATAAGTTGGAATAAAGTTAAAAAGCCAAAACAAAAGCAAATGTACCAAAGAGCATAGACGAACATATTTAATACACATTTCTTTATCAAAGCAATCACAGAAATAGAAATTGCATTCAAAGGGCTTCTACATTCTAACTATAGTTGAAAATACCTTTGTTGCCAGGAAGTGTCTAACTGCAACTTCTTGATTCATCCTTGCTATAAGATCTTCCATGTCTGTTTTTGCTGTAGCTAGTCTACTCTGCAGTGTATTGAGAGCCTTTTTAATTTATAGTGCTCATCTGATAGAAAAAGGACAAGCAAATCTCTATGGAATTGTAAATCTGAGCTAAGAGAATCCAAGGTTCTAGGAGCTTCAGCATTCAGGCAGGTCAAGTAACCCATTACCAAACAAACTAGTTACCCCTAAGTTTGATATTTCAGTAGCTCTCACGGAACTTAAGTCAATTCCAATGCTTTCTGTTGACAATCTTTGAACATGGCCATCCACTTTGCAATACTGTACTTCAGGCAAATGCTCTGCTCCATCTCCACAAGGAA